ATTAATCATGTTCATAATAATGATAATTATAGAAATAATAAAATTATAATCATAATCAAAACAATTATAAAAATAATCATAAATCATGTTAAAGCATAATAAAAATAGCAAGATCCTAGGCATGATACTAACAAGATTAATAACAAACCCTAGCATGTCACTAAGCAATAAAAATCAAATCTTTAACCCTAACATGATACTAGCAATCATAAATATTAGGAAGCAAATAAAAGGCGTCGTAACAATCATATTGAATATTAAAATACCCTAGACATGATACTAGGAATATCATAATAACAATTCAAACATGATTTCTACATCATAACATTAATAAAATCAATTAAAGTACTTACTTTGATGCCTCGTATCTCTTTCTAATAACAAAATACACACGTTAGTAACTTCAAGGAAAATAATAAACAAAACAATTAAATTAAATAATTGAAAGAGAGATTTGGGACCAAACCCTCATAAATTAAACCTTTCACGTCTAGGGCGAAGGCAACTTCGAATATGGCTAGGTGTTTCTAGATCTTGTGAATACGGAATTTTGTATGTAAAAAGCAAGTTGTAGAGAGAGATGAATGAAGGATGAAGGAAATCTTGATGAGAATTAGCGAATGATTAAAGAGAATTGAAAACTGGTTGTAGGTGAATGAAAACGGAGTTTTTAATACGTTATTTATAGAGAAATCAGCCAAAAAGATAAAATATCAAAACAGAGCACTTGGCGCACGTGAAACAGAGCTGGCGCCAACGCTGGCTAATTGGCGCCAGGCGCCAATGGCTGGCGCCAGGCCTAGCTCCAGGCGCCAATGCCTGGCGTCAGGCGCTAGTCCTGTTTTTGACGCGTTTTTGAAAATCAGATAAGTTTGCCGTACTGGAGGATAAAATCATATCTTTTTCTCGAAAATGCTTTTTGATTTTAATTAAAACTCTGAAAAGTCAACAAAAGTCAATTTATCAATGCTAATTGAATTAGGAATGAAAAGAACCTTCTAGAAGAATCTAGAAGACTAAAACCATTCCTAATTGCATTAGGAATGATAAATCATATTAGGCCCTCCCCTAGATCATTGGGCCGCACATAAGGCTCAAACCGGGCCCAGTTCAGCAAATTGGTCATAACTTCCTCAATATTCATCGGAATTGGGCTTATAATATATCGTTGGAAAGATCTTGTCAAGCCCCATCCAAATATACTACAATTGGACCCATATCATGGACCAACCCAACTGGATTGTCTGTTTTCTTAAATAAGTTTTCAAAAACAGAGAGAAGAGAAAAGAAATTAAAACTATCCGCAACACTAGACTTTCCACACTTTCGCTTCATTCGATTATGATTCGACGTGAAAGGTACTCATCGCTGGGTTTGGTTTTGGGGAAACACAAATGGGTGTCTACAGGGTTATAGTTAAGTGTGTGAGGTTTGATAATGCCAAGGAATTGTGTGAGGGTGGAATGATGAAATTGTATGCAAACCTTGGGATTTTCATTCAGATTAGTTGTAGTGATACACCCCAAAATGGAGTTGTTTAAAGGAGGCACAAGCATCTCTTAGAGACTGTTAGAGCATTGTACATACAGTCAAAGATACTAAAGAGGTTTTGGGGTGAATGCGTTCTGAGTGCAGCTTACTTAATCAATAGAATGCCTCTTAAGGCAATTGGTTCAAATTCACATTATTTTAGATTACATAAAAAGGTTCCCCAATGTGTCTCATTTAAGAACTTTTGGGTGTCTTTTCTATTTGTTAACAAGTTAAGTTAGGAGAAAAAAGTTAGCCAGTAGAGGCTAAACCATGTGTTCTAAGTGCAGCTTACTTAATCAATAGAATGCCTCTTAAGGCAATTGATTCTAATACACGTTATTTCAAAATGGCTATTCTAGTTCTCAAAAGGATACAAAGTCATGGATATTTATACATATAATAAGGTTCAGATTTCTAGGGATGTTCATTTTCATGAAAAACATTTTCCTTTTCATCTTTACAAAAAACATGTTTCTCCCTCCTTCATTTATTCAAATGCAATCTACCTACCTGTTGCCACTTCTTCTCATTTACATCAGTTTGAAGCCTTATTTGTTCCAATCCTGAGTCAGTTTTCCCTTCTCATCCTCAGTCTCATTCTTTCCTGATTACTCTCCTTTTCATATCTCTATATCTTCTCCATCTTTTCCTTTTCCTTCTACTAATACTGGTACATAGTTAGATTCTGCTTTTGCAAATCAACTTATGGACTTGAGTACATAGTTAAAAGTTGATGGAACCTTAAAGAGGTGTAAAGAAATATTGGTTGCATAGGGCTTCAATCAGAAATATGGGATTGATTATGAAGAAACTTTTAGACCAGTTGTGAAGATGAGTACAATCAAATGTTTGATTGCTTTGGCTGCTAGTAATCACTAGTCATTGTTCTAGGTGGATGTCAATAACGCCTATTTACATGGAGATTTGAAAAAGGAAGTCTATATGAGGGTACTTGAAGGTGTTGAGAATCCAGGCAACAAAGTGTGCAGATTGATCAAGTCTATATATAGCTTAAAATAGGCTTCCAGACAATGGCATGAGATGTTAGTGTCTACCTTAGAGAAGCAAGGTTTTATCAAGCGCAAACATAAGTATAGTCTATATTCAGAAAAGATGATGTAATTCTCACGGGCAACAATATTCAGAAAATGGAAGATTTTAAAGCTTATATTCGCTAGGAATTCAGCATCAAAGACTTGGGAAGATTGAGCTATTTTTTAGGTATTAAGGTTGGATACACTCTTGAAGGGATACTTCTCGGTCAAAAGAAGTTTACAAGAGAATTATTGCATGATTGTGGGTTTGATCTCAACAAGAAAGCTCTAACACCTTTGCCTCATAATGTTAAGCTTCTTGTAGATGAAGGTGAAATATATGGGATTGCTGAGCATTACAGATCTTTGGTGGGGAAATTGAATTTTCTCACAACACCATACATGACCTCTCTTATTCGTGCAAACTCTCAGTCAGTTCTTACAAACTTCAAGAGTTCCTCACATTCAAGCATTACATCATACTCTCAGATATCTTGCACATACAATTGGACTGGGCATTTTACTTAGAGCCTCAAATACTTTGAGATTGTAGGCTTTTTCAGACTCAAATTGGGATTCATGTCCTGATTCAAGAAGATACATTACAGGGTATATACGTTGGGTGGTTTACCCTTCTCTTGGAAATCCAAGAAAAAACGAACAACATCAAAATCATTTGCTGAAGCATAATATAGAGGAATGACAACAACATCTTCTGAAGTTACATGGTGGGAGAATTTGCTGGAAGAATTAGGGGTTACAAACTTGAAGCCTGTCACTCTTCATTGGGACTACTAGTCAGCTCTGCATATAGAAAGGAACCTAGTATTCCATGAAAGGACAAAACACATCGAGATTGATTTCCACTTCACTCGAGATAAAGTCATGTAAAGGCTTATCCCGCTCATTTATCTTCCTACTCAGCATCAGCTTGCTGATGTTTTTACTAAGCATATTTCTACAATTTAATTTCAGCTTTTATTATCCAAGTTTGGATTGTATCCAGATCCTGCCTTGAGGGTGGAGGGGTTGTTGGTGATAGCTGACTTAGCAGATTTGCCACATCAGCTTTAATTTGTTATAACTAATTATATTCTGTTGTAGCAGAATTTGGAAACTTCTAGATTTTAGCTTATGTTATAAATAGGCTTAGTTGTTGTAAGATTATCATTCACAAAAAATATCTTGCAATAATATTTCTCTGATTATGCTTAGATTGTTCTTCATTTTCTCTCAAAATTTTTCCAGATTTTACTTCTTTAATCAGAAAATTGTCAAGTATATATCCATTTCATTACTTCTTATGTCTCATAAAGACTTTTTTCAAATGGCCACATAATTTTTGTTGATGATAGATTTTTAAAACTTGTTTTTCTTAACAACTTGGTTTTCATATTAAATAGATGTATTACTCCAAAAATAAACTTGAATATTGTTTTTTATAGGTAAGATGAAGGGCCCTACCGTGCCGGAACCCCTCACGGATCAACCCGACCCGGGTTACCAGGCTAGACAATTTAGGAGAGTGGGGGAAAGGTAAGGGAATCCCACTCCCAAATTGTCACTATTGAAATTGAACCTCCAACCTCATGGTTGGAAGGTGCTCTCCTTTCCACTAGACCAAACTTAGTATGGTAAAACGGGTGCAACACAAGGACTTCTTAGGAGGTTTCCCATCCTAGTACTACTCTCATAAGTTTGAGAAGAACTGATGGTAATTACTTTGTACGTATAAAGTTTTGCTTTTAACTTGTACATCAATTTTCAAGATTTTACCCGGTATTTCAACTAAATTACGATAAGATCCACTAAAATTTTCTAAACCTAGTCTTACTTTGTTGACACGAAATCATAGTGTTTTGAGATTAGATTGTGCAGTGCAGTTTTTATTTTTGGCGGCAAGGCATAAGCTTGGCCTTGTGTGAAATCAAGATTGTGAGAACAAAACAATGCAAATGGGTGTTTGAATCTCAAATAACACTCCTATCTTTTTGGCGATGAAGTGGGTCAATTGGGGCTTGTGATGACGGTCAAGCTAGTCAAGATAGGCATATGCAAGATAGATTCACGTTTTTTGTATGGAACCTAATGAAATTGGGTGCTAATATGCATGTGAAAATTAGTGGAAAAAATCTCATTCGTAACAGGCTATTTGTAACGGGCAAAGCTTTGCCCGTTACAATTAAGATATTCGTAACGAGCAAAATACTGTCCGTTACGAATACTTATTTATTCGTAACGGGCAAAATAGTGTCCGTTACGAATACGTATGTATTCGTAACGGACAAATTAGAGTGTCCGTTACGAATAAATAAGTATTCGTAACGGACACTATTTTGCCCGTTACGAATACAATATTACACGTAACAGGCGTATTGTGCCCGATACAAATGCCCAAACTTGGCCCAACTGATGAGAGCTTTTTAGGGTTTCACCTAAAGCCGTCATTCACCTCTTTTTCTCTCATCAGTCCCTTAATCCCTCTCTCTCTCCTCTCCTCTCCTCGATCTCCTCCCCGTCATTCACCTCTTTCTTTCATTTCAAACTCAAGCCTTTTCTCCTCTTCTTGAATTGATTTTTGGGCATTTTAGATCGTGAGGTAAGAAGTCCTTTAATTGTTTTTTCCTCTTCTTGAATTGATTTCTGGGCATCTAATTGTTTAAGTTATTGAATTTGTTCTTGTGAATTCTAATTTGCTTTATTTTTTTCTACATGCAATTTGTATTTGATTCATTTTTGGCATTTATATGGTTCGATTATCCTTTGTATGTATAAACGAATAATAAATCTAAAAAAAAATATGTTCTTCAATTGAAACAAGTAATACATGCAATCAGTAATGAATTTAGTTCATCTTTGTTGATTAATACCTGATTGCCGAATTTTTTTGTAATTTTTTTGTTTATAGAGAGAATTAAGAAACCTGATATGGCATGTTGATTAATTCTAGGGTTCTTCGAGTTCTTTAGCGAAATCGATCAATTTATCCCCAATTTGTTCATTTTTATTGGTAATTTATGGGTTGGTATAATCTCTGTTAATCTGTTGTTGAAGTGAGAATTTGGGTATTGCTTTTTTATTCTGTGTGCAAGGTTCTTTCATTTCTTCATTCTTTGGTGTTTTAATCTGCAATTGGTGAATGTTGGTGATTTTTAGTTGATGTTTTCTACCTGATAAGTTACATGCGCTCAGAAATTTTTATATACTACAATGGCCTCTTCATGTTAGGTTTTGTTTTATGCAACCTCTACAATGTTGGCTTTCTTACTAATTTCAAAGTACTCAATTTATTACATACGAGAGGGGCTGCCAAGGATCCTACCCGGGCCATGGGCTTGTTAAAATCGTCTGAATTCAAGGTTAATACTGAATGTGCCTGGAAAGTAATTTCGAAGTGAGACCTCATCTGATTGATTTGAACACTGCCAATGTCTAGTACTGTTGGCCTTGTGATACCCTGCAAAGGTATGAATCTCAGCCTCGTCGTGTTAACTACAAAATCTCATCTTCACTTTGTTGATTTATTATTGGTTTGTTGTATAGCTGTTGTAGCATGGGAGGCCAGGAAGCCGTTGGTGATAGAGCAAGTAGAGGTTGCTCCACCATAGACCTTGGAAGTCAGAGTTAAAATCAAGTACACTACACTTTGTCTTACTGACTTTTACTTTTGGGAAGCTAAGGTATATCTTATTCACCTACCATTCTATTTTCATTCCATACTAGTTTGTATCCCTTGAGGTTTCTAAACTATGTTTTTCTAGAGCTGAAAACTCCAAATATTCTCTATATTCTGCAGGGCAGTACTGCTACACAATTGTTTCCTTGCATTTTTGGCTATGAAGCAGCTAGGTATGTGCATATATTCTCAACTAGAGTTGATAAAAGTAGAGCTAGAGCTAATGATAGCCTATCTTGGTTTACCAACTCATATATTTTTGCTGTTTCGTGATATTAACTGCGGTTTATAACTAGAAATCCTTAATCTAGAAATGCAAGTCTGTTCATGATCTTATTTGAGCCAAGCTATGCAGTGATTGGCCTAGCTCATTTAAATCTCAAGTCAAGTTCACTTACTTTCCAGCTATAATGAGTGGAAAGATATGCAGAGTATCTAGTTGATAAGCTTCTGTTTAAATTTTGACATAATTGTTGAAAGCATAGGATCCCATAACAATAATTTCTCTTTTCGAATTTAAATTGGAGAAATTACTGAATGTGCCTAGAACAGTAATTTCACAAATAAATTTTCACAAGTAGTCAATCCAGTACAATCCCTTTTTATTTTTTTTATAAATATATCATGATTATCGAAGTAACTTATCTTATCGTTTGTCCTACACCTTGGAGTAGACGTTGTCCCAATTCTTGTTGGACCAGTCTCCTACTTAATGTTGTCCAAGCCTACTAAGGGTGACTTAACTTGTATCTCAAACAAATAAATTTATGTTGTCTAATAAAGACGTTTGGCTAACTTAGTTGTTCTTTGCTTGCAGACAAGCTTGTGGTCTCCACTTCCTGCTCACTTCTTCACACTACTGTTGATCTTGTTAACGAGACTTAAAGCTTGATGATGAAATCAAGTCATGGCTTGCATTTGCTGCACAGAAAGTTGTTGAAGTTAACGCTTTGGCCAAGGCATTGTCTGGTCAGAAGGATGAGGTAAACCCTTATGCTACTACATTTTGCTTTCCATAAGTTTTTCTTATTTATTTTTTATTTTTTATTAACACTTACTTTTTATATAGTTTTGTGACAATTCCTTTGGTTGTGAATATCATATTTGATCCTCAGAAACTGGGATTATAATAAAACTCTACTCCAAATAGATTGTTTTGATTGTGGCTCAATTTCTCATATGTTTATTTGTGTTATTGTGTATTCAGGCACGAGACTTGCTACCAAATTGCTTTGGCCATCAAGGATGAGGTTGAGGATCTTGAGAAGGCTTGTATCAATTTTGTCCAAATTGACGAGGTTGCTTTGAGAGAAGGTTTGCCACTCGGGAAGCCTGAGCACGGTAGCTACTTGAAGTGGGCCGTCCACTCCTTCCGTATCACCAATGTTGGAGTCCAAGACCCAGGTAACTTTTGCTACATTGTGACTCGTGTTGCTGAATTTTGTACCAGGAAGTTCTTGTGCTATAAAAATGAATTTCAATGCTCATTTCTGTATTTTTGCTTTAATGATTGAATTTATTTCTTGTACAGTAAATTTCCCACTTATATTTCAACTAATTGAGCTCAAAATGTAAGATATTGTAGCAATTTGAGTAACCCCATTATGTATGGTTATGAATATATGAATGAGAGTGGATGAAAAAAGAAGCATTTTGCTGTTTTCTGGCTTTTTGGATTTTGAAATTGAAATGTACATGGTTAATCTCGTGCCATCTTATAAAATAGATGGGCCATGATGCTGAGACGGGGAGGTGGGGATTAGTAGCTAGGCATACTCCACCCCTTTCTTAGTTTTGTCCCTAGCTCTAAGGCATATGGCAGCATTGTCTCTTATATCATCTCTGCTACTTGAGAAATTATCAGCTAACAAACCCAGACTGGAAAAACCAAATTGGTTTTCGGGTTCCCATCCTATGTTTTTACAGTTAGCTAGTAACATTCTTCTAATTTTAGCTCACTATCTGTGTTCATATTATGGTCTTCCTATCAAACATATTACTGCCGTGTGTCTAACAAAAACAGAATTATGCTGCAGATTTCCCCATTGCCCAGGAATTTACACTAATGAGAAAGTCAAAGCATGGAAGAAAGTGGTTAATGCTGTTCATGCAAAGGGTGCATTTATCTTCTGTTAGTTGGTCGAGCCTTGCATACAAATTAACTATTCACTCTATATAGTTATAAACTTTCATTGTTGTATTAAGGACTATTATTTATGTAGTAGCTTTTGACTCATGTTAGGGAGTTGTTGTAAAGTTGTATCTTTGATTTTATAATTAATTAAATTTTACATTTATTAATATTGAATATTGATAATAGTAATTAAAATTTGGCATCATAAAAGGTTATCAGGTTAGCAGTGTAGCAGGTATCACCTGCTGCATTTTTTTTTAATTTGGGTTCAATTGTATTAGTAACGGACATTTTGATTGCCCGTTACAAATAACGGGTTATTCGTAATGGGCAGTCAAACTATCCGTTATAAATAACGGTTTATTCGTAACGGGCAGTCAAACTGTCCGTTACAAATAACGGGTTATTCATAACGGGCAGTCAACTGTCCGTTACAAATAACCCGTTATTTGTAACGGGCACTGCCCGTTACGAATAACATAGCCTATCCGTAACGGCAGCATACGTAACGCCTGATGCCCGTTACGGATAGGCTATTTTTGCCCGTTATGGATAACTATTTTTCCACTAGTCTAGAAACACACAAGCAGAAAGCGAGGCTACGCTTTGTTCAACACCTTAAAAAAATGGCTTTCTTTCCACCAACTATTACACACAATATTAACAGGGTGAATTGCCCAACATAGCATAAAAGTTGAATAAAAAAAGAGCATTTTAACATTATACCCCTATAGTATTGGGTTTCATAAGTTGCACTCAAAGATTTAGAAAAATAGGTAATGTACCCCACATGTGTAATAATGAGCACATCCCATCCTTTTTGCAATGATTTATATTAACATACGTTAAAAATAATCAAACCACACCACTCTACTCGACTCCCACTATAACAACCACCACCCCAACTACCTCATTTCTCCTCTTCCCCAACCCCAACACCCTTTGAGTAATTAGGTTTTGATGGTTGTAAACTAATGATGATTATCTATCTAACGTGTGTGTTAAGTTGTGCATAGAAAGAACAAGTTATGCTTGGAACAAGATAAAAGGAACCAGAGTATTGACAAGTGTATATATATAAGGAACTTGAGCAATATAAGATAAGCAATATAGGAATTAGAACAATGATGAGTGTTATGGTTGATAAGCATGATGATGGAAAAGGAACCATGAAGGTAACTATGTAAATAGGTGTTTGCATATGTTAGTTTCATGAGGTAAGTACTCTATTCATACATGAGTTGTATATGCGTAGGAGTATTTATGTTGCTTTAAATTTAATTAGTTCTCTTACTTGAAGTTTGTTTAATTATGAAAAACAAACTTCAAACTAATATTCTCTTAAGTGTATGTGAAGACAGGAACTGACTTAGGTGAAGTCAATTGGTTGGAACATAGAAGACTTCAAGAGAAACAAAAGAGAATAAATAAACCTAAAGCACGTTCTCCGATGAGAATCAAACCACGAAGAAACCTGAAGGTATTCTCTAACGAGATCTAGAAGGAACTTTCGGCAGGCTTTCCCACGAGAGTCGGAGCATGTTCCCTAACAGGTACATGAGGTTTTCCCTAACAGGTACACGGTGGATAGATCCCTAATAGAAGTGCAAGTGACAACAAGTTCCAAAAAGGAACCTGGTCTGCAAGTTCCAATAAGGAATGAACAAGAGTGACAGCAAGTTCCAGTTTGGAACTTGGACTGCGGTTCCATATGTGGAATATTTCCCCAAGATTCAGAATACATCAATACTGCAAGATTTCAAACCAAGAGTTTCAAAGAAACAACATGAAGACAGTGAAATTAAAGTATATCGCTCTAGAATTCATGTAAGTATGTTGGACATAAAAGTCAGTCTGGAACAAGTCCATAAAACCAAGATTGAACTCCATACAGTCCATGAAATTAGAGTTACTGACTTGTTGGGAACTCAGAGACTATCAGAGTTCTGAAACCTAATAAGAACTTAAGTCTACACGTCTTTAAGAGTCGGTTCTAATGATATAAATATTTACCTAATACGTGCATATCTTTTAGGGATTTTGTTTTATAGAATAAATATATTTATTTTCTAATAAATCCCTTTTGGAAAAAAATAAGTTATTTTTGGAAAGTATTTTCAGCAGAAGTAAGTTTTGAATAAAATCTGATTTTATGGTAAGTATATCTTTTTGAAAAAGATAAGCTAGTATATTTGGAAAACATAAGTTTGAAATAAAATTTGATTTTATGGTAAATATATCTTATTATTATTGACAGAATATATTCTTAACAAAAAGATATTTTTAGAAAACTTATTTTTGTAAAATGTCTTTTAAACATATCTTTTGATAAAACTTATCTTTTACGAAAAGAATGATTTGGGCGTACTACAAATATGCTCATATGTATTCATTCAAAGTCGAGGTTGACAAAATGTAGTGGTCTTTCTTAATGGTTTAGTCCTTCACTACAAAGGTAATTCAAACCTCCAGGTCAAAGTTCCAATAAGGTTTGGTTTCAATTCGTCCAATCATTTCCAGACAGATCTTGAGTGTCCAGCATATTAATTTTATATCTTTATTCAGTGACATGTATTTAGAGTTAACTCTTTGAGATCTTGTTATTGGGAAAAAGGGTTTTGAGTGTTTTATGTATTGGGGTGTGAGAGTTCGTGAGGAGTCTCTTTATCACAATTGTATGAGTGCAAAGTTTAAGATTCTAGGGTGAAGCCGAGTAAGCTTGTAGTTAGAGGCCGAGTGAATAGTACTGTTGTACGAATCTAAGTCTGGGACTTAGGTTGGGTTGGATAAGGTCATATCGAGTAGCAAGTTTCCGGGTAGGAACTTGTGAGAAAGGTCTAATCACTAGTAGAAAAATACAATAAGGCAACCCCATAAAGGCACCGGTTCAGGCCAAACCGGTGCCCTAAACCGGCCCAAAATTGGGCGCAATTTTACACAAATAGAAAAGGCACCGGTTAAGCCCAAACCGGTGCCTTTACGAACCGGTTCATTTAAATATTAAAAAAAAAACCGCCCTTATAACTACCCCCAACCTAAGCTAATTCATTCTCGGTCGTTCTCTCTCCTCTCCTCTTTCTCTCTCCTCCTCCTCCTCTTTCTCTCTCCTCTCCTCCTCTTTCGCCGATCTCCTTCAACCCTTCATCCTTTATCTTTCTAGATCTCCTCCTCCTTTCTATCATCACTCGAAAACCACCAACAATTCGAAGACAACAACATGCAACACGGATTTTGAGGTTTTTCAATCGAATTTAATAGTTTTTTTCGATTTTGATTTTTTTAATTTCAAACTCTTCTTTCAATTAATTTTGATTTTTTTTCAGCGATTTCTCGGTTTTTTTTTCTCCAATTTCAATTTTTTTTTCTGGGTTTATGATTTTTCTTTCGATTTCAATTTTTTTTCGATTTCAACTATTTCGATTTCTGGGTGTTTTCGATTTGTGGATTTTTCTGGGTTAATTTTTTTTATTTCGATTTTGATTTTTTTTTCTATTTCTGGGTTTTTTTTCGATTTCGAGTGTTTTTTTTTCGATTTTGATTTTGTTTTTCGATTTCTGGGTTAATTTTCGGTTACAATAATCGATTTTGGGTTAATGCAAGCGTTTTTGGGTTTGTTCTGTGTTTGTTGATTTTTTTTTACTTGATTTAGATCCGTTAAAGATGCAAGATTTGTTCTGGGTTTGTTTTGGGATTTTCTTTTTTATTTTTCGATTTAAATTCGAATTTTTTTTATTTTCTGAGTTTTTTTTTCCTAATTTTTGATTTTGGTTTTTAAATTCTGGGTTCAATTTTGGTTTTTAAATGATGTTCTGGGTTTTTTTTTTCTTTTCAACTGATTTTCTTTTTTATTTTTCGATTTTTTTTTATTCGATTTAAATTCGAAATTCTTTAATTTTCTGGGTTTTTTTCCTGATTTTCGATTTTGGTTTTTATTTTTTGGGTTCAATTTTGGTTTTTAACTAATCTTCTGGTTTTTTTTTCTTTTCAACTGATTTTGTTTTTTATTTTTCGATTTTCTAGTTTTTTTTTTCGTAGCTTTATTAAATCACTTTAATTGATTTATTTTGGTTGTTTTAATTGGTGCAGGTACACTTAAATCAAAGAATCAAGATGCAAGTATATTGATTTAGATGTTGTATTGGTTTTTTTTTTATTGTGAAGTTGTATTTTTTTATTTATATTGTAATTTTTTTATTTATTTATATGTTGTAATTTTTTTTATTTTGATTTATACGTTGTAATTTTTTTTATTGTTCTATACTGTAAATTTTTGTTGATGATTATATATATATATTGAATAGAGTATATTATATTGATTGTGATGTTCGGTTTTTTTTATTCTCATTTTATTTTAGTTTATTTAATTTATAAGTAAAAAATATTTATTTTTTTGGCACTTTTGGCACCGGTTAACCGGTGCCAATTCCGAGTTTTGGCACCAGTTTGAACCGGTGCCTTTTTAAACCACTTTTTGGCACCCCCCACATTGGCACCGGTTCGAACCGGTGCCTTAGGCCGGGTTTGAACCGGTGCCAATTTTATTTTTTCACGTAGTGAATTGTAATAGGTTGTAACTAGGAGTGTTTGGCCTATTATAGTGGATTAGTTTGGTTTGAAATCCCTTAGAGGTTCGAGGTTTTACTTCCAATTAGGCCCTTGTTGGTTTACTCATAAAATTCGCTTTGCATTATCTAAGTTCCCAACAGAAATAAGTTTATATTTCGCGAAAATTAGGCAATAGTAATATACTACAATTCACCCCCCTCTTGTAGTATATCGTCTAGATAACAATTTCCTCTCCCACAACCCCTACAACCACTCTCCTCTCCCTTTCCGACTCTTCAAAACCCCTCTATATCTCTCCTCAACTCACTCAACTATTCATACCCAACTCACCTTTCTTGCACCAAATAAAAGGTGACCCACCTTAAAGTCCCAATTAAGGATTTCATCTTTAACCCACCTTGTGCTATAGACAAGTTATCGTTCAAGTAATAAAGGAGATCACTCATGTCACCTTTTAATTCAACATATGCATTATTGTCGGTAACATAATCAAAGTTGTTAATGGTAGGTAAGCTTTTAATAGTAAGATCTATCAATTCAAACTCTTATTAACATGAATTAATCAAACAAATGATATGGTTGCATGACTAACAATAAAGACGTTATCAATTAGAGATCAAAGAATAATCAACCAT